GTTCACTTTCCCTGGTGGCAATTTACAATGTAGCCATTTGACCCATATGAAATTATCCATCTACTATAGCATTATTGTAAAATATTTCTTGTAGTTCATAGTCTGTCTCGTCTACCAAAACTTCCCTGTTTTAAAATGAATTAGCAGGTTAACAGAATTGAAAGGAGATTTTTAAATTTAAAAAAAGTAGTTCAGGTCTCAAAGACTGGTTTGGTATAATGGCCAATCCAGTGCAAATGATTGGAGCATTTCCAACAGCATCAGTTAATTCCAGCATTAAGGAACAATTTAAGTTAATACTTTACTTTGTCTGAGGATGCCTCATCCACACATCCAGATTGAAATAATGGTCATGGAGAGATTGCAGCTGTTGAAATCTTCAAATTGAGGTCATTTTCTTGGGTCTTTAGGCATCTTTATAAAAGACTTCAATTATGAAGTAAACTGATTTAATCTTCAATGAAATTGGTTCTGTATTGTTTAAGCTGCATTTTGTGGAGTTGACTTTTTGGTAACAATGAAAGCTACTTCAGCTGTTCATATATTCACTGTTTATGATTTGAAGACACCTGCTTTATAACACTGGGCAATTGTGCTAATGTGATTAGATTTCCAATAAAGTTAGTGTAATGTTATGGACCATGCTAAGATAGTATGGACCGTCTAAGGTAGCATAGATCCTAACTTTTTGTTTTCTTTTAAGTGTAAGGTGTTGCTTTCCAGATGCAATTTGCTTGGTCAAACTACTGTACTTTTAGCAAGACACACACACTTTAATTTTACAATGCTGTTAAAATACAGACAAAAATAAAAGAATTGGCTTAATTGTATCTCTATTGAAATCTTAAAATAATATATTAACAACTGTCTGTTCCAGTTTAGTAACCTCCCATAAGTACACCCTTGGCAAAGGCAAATTCAGTAAAGTAGTTTGTCTCACAGGCAATTCTAGCAGTAGGAAGAGAACCCTAGCTTTTAGCTATAACAGGGAGAAGAATAAGAGTTTCCACATTCAGCTTAAAGACACCAACAACTGCAGAAATCTAAAGCAATAAAAATCCTGTTTCTGTTGGAGCTTGATCCCACCCATTCAGGCTGCTTCTATTGTTTGAACTTTTTTTTAAAAAAAACCCAAGGCCCCTCAAGCAGTTTTACTTTATTAGCTTTGAGCCAATAAAAAAAGAAAAATCAGGACAAAACATACATCAAAGACATAGTATCATCACACTAAGCAGTGACAAACTGTAATTTGTCTGTTTTTCCTCAAAGTGGGAATCATAGAATCATAGAATCCCTACAGTGTGGAAACAAGCCCTTTGGCCCAACAAGTCCACACCGAACCTCAGAGCATCACACCCAGACCCATCCCCCTATAACCCACCTAATCTACACCTCCCTGAACACTCTGGGCAATTTAGCATGACCAATCCACCTAACCTGCACATCTTTGGACTGTGGGAGCAAACCAGAGCACCCAGAGGAAACCCATGCAGACATGGGGGAAGAAGGCACTTGTCCCTGAATCTTAAAATGAAGGGAAGGTTGTTAACTTTGTTTAAATATTGGCTTCAACAGTGTTGGAAAGCTGCAATAAAATGTAACTTTAAATAATGCTGTTATTCATAATGCTGTGCAGTTTCACACTTTAGTGAACTAATCCAACCGTTCTAGAAGCTTTTGTCAGATTTGAGGTTTATAATTCTGATTTTTCTTTTTTATTAAAGAATATATTTTTTACTGGGTATTTGCTTTCCAGTGCATTATCGCCAAAACAGTATGAGGTTGATAATCTGGTGATATGTTGGTACAGCATTGTTTTATTTTTGTCCTGATGTACTGTACTACCCTCATCCTATTTTATGTCAATGTTGACTTGAAGTTCTGCAGTTGAACTTGAAGAAAATAACCTATCTAATGGGAGATGTGATCACATAGTGCTTGGCATGGTTTATGATGAAATTATGAGCATGTGGTGCAAGAAGTTAATCCTAAATAAATACAAAAATAACTCTGCTCTATAGCCTTTCTTCTATTAGCTAGTGCTGCTCTGGGATTCTGTTGTCATGGTAACACAGCTTGCTGCTTTGTGGTAGTTGCCAAAATTGCACCACACTCCCACACAAAACTCGATGCATGTTTAAAAATATGCTCAGTATTGTAGTTGTCTTTACAATCTCTATTCAAACTGCATTCTAGGTCTAGAATATCTAGTCTAGACTGACACACGCTAGTAATGGTATTGTTAAGGGGGGCAGCATTTTAGTGAGATAGGCCAGCCATCTGTTTCAATAACCAAATAGGGAGTTTTTGTACATGGGCTATTTTGCCATTTTATAAACGTTCTTTGTCCTAGTCTTCACTGACTCTTAATTGCCCTCTGGGCAAATTAGGGTCAGGCAATAAATGCTAGCCTGGCCAGTGATGCCCTCATCCCATGAATGAATTAAAAATCCTGTGAGCTCTCTGCAAACTACTGCTGACATCATTTCCTCGAACATAATCTGTCTCATGCAAGAGCTTTTGGGAGAAGTACTAAATGAAAGCCAATGTTTTCATTCATTCAGCACCTTTTTTTTTCTTTTAAAATGTGATGCTTGCATTAATTTGTTTGTCACTGAACTCATGGTGCACTCAAAGACTTTTCTCCCTGGGGCCTCCGTGTAAATACTTGCATGCCCTTGGGGACTGCCAATTGTAATTGCTGCATCTATCTAAAGAAAACAACACTCAGTTTCCCAAAAACGTTGTACTTTGGGGAAACTTTGTTAGTGTTGGCTACCGGAAACCTTTTTTAAAAAAATCAGTTGAATGCTCTAACGAACATAATTCTGGCCTTGCAATTCTTCGGGTCAGCTTTTGGACTCAGTAGTTTTAAACTAGTGACCAATTAAACATTGCAAGTGTCACTGTAGCTACATAAGAGTTAATGACAATCTTATTAAATGTCTTCAAGCTGTTGAGTTTCTAAAATGCAATTCTTGAGGAAAATTTCAGCCAAGTTGTGTAAATGTGTTGTGATGGGTAACAGATTATGTGAAACAGAATGAGACGAGACGAGACGAACCCATTGCCCAAAAAATATCCCCAGTGGGAGTATCTAAGTATGAGGCATGGAGCAGAATACACTGAGTACATAAAAGTTTTCAGCTAGAGTTGCAAAAACCTAGAAGCTAAAACTAATGTGAATGGAAGGTCAGGATGAGTATGTAATTACATTCCACTGTAACTGACCAAGCCACTATATATTTTTACATCACTTTTTTTAAAAAAATGCCCAAATTACTAATGGGTGGTAAGTTATCCTGAGCATAATCGTAGAGCATGGGTAAAGGCCTATTTGTCAAAAACAAATCCCTAACTATTTGACTCCTATTTTCCAGCACTTGGCCCATGCCCTTGTATGCCTTGGTGTCTCAAGTGCACATCTAAATATTACTTAAATATCAAGAGGATTTCTGTCTCTGCCACCCTTTTCAGGCAGTGAGCTCCAGATTCCCAACATCCTCTGGGCAAAAAAAAATGATTTTCCTCATCCACTTTAAAACTCTACCCTTTACCATTAATCAAGACCCCTGGCCATTGATCCCTCCTGTAAGACCATTGTTTTTCCTTTTTTTTTTCTTGAAAACCTCCACCACTGATGCTCAGTAGCATCAGGTATGTACGATCTACAAGATGCACTGCAGAAATTCACCAATGATCCTTAGACAATACGTTCCAAACCCACGACCACTTCCATCTGGAAGGAAGAGGGCAGCAGATGCATGGACCCTCTCCACTGGAAACCATCCTTCCTATAATGCGCACACTGCTGTTACTGTGGCCTAACTATTGCTTTGTACACTTCCAGCATAACTTTGCTACTCTTAAATTCTATGCCTCAACTAATAAAGGCAAGTATCCAATACGCTTTAGCTACTTTATATACCCGCCACGCTACCTTAAGGGATTGGTGAATGTGCACATCAAGGACCCTTTGATCCTTTGGGGCTTCCCAAGGTCTTGCTGTTGATCCTGTATTCCCTAACCTTCTACATCCTGCCCAGTGCTTCACCTCACTTGCCCAGATGCAATTACATTTGCCACTGATCAGTGCATCTATATCCCTCTGTACTCTAAGGCTATACTCAACAATTTTTTTGTATCATCCACAAACTTGTTGATCAAACCTCCTAAGTTGAGGTTTAAGTTTTGTTTGTATAAACCACAAACAGCAAATGGCTCAACACTGATCCCTGTAGAACCTGACTGGACAGGTTTCCAGTCACAAGCACCCCTCAACTGTTATCCTCTGCTTCTTGCCACTCAACTAATTCTGGACCAATTAGCCAAATTTCCTTGGGCTTTTACTATTTTGCTGTCGGTCTCCCTTATGGGACCTCATCAAAAGCCTTGCTGAAGTGCATGGCTTTACACTTGGTCATCTCCTTGAATGTCTATAATTTCACCCAAGAAAGACTTGTGTAGGCAGTGTTCTTCCTGCATTGTACTGATAATTGAAGTTAAGTGTCTCAATTTTTGAATCTTAACTTGGTCAAAAATTATCTTTTTTTTTGAGTGCGCACTACTTAACCAAAGCTGTAAGTTTAGCACCTGGAGATGTTGGATTTATTGAAACAGTTGGTGAGTTCTGTGATCTGTAAAGTTTGGGGTGAAATTATCAAAGTTTTCCTTGTGAGCAAGTCACTAATGTTCACTAATGTCCTTTAGGGAAGGAAACTGCCATCCCCACCTGGTCTGGCCTACGTGTGACTCCAGACCCACAACAATGTGGTTGACTCTGAACTGCCCTCTGGGCAATTAGGGATGGGCAACAAATGCAGCTTAGCCAGCAACACCCGCATCCTGTTAATGAATTTTAAAAAGTCACAAATAGAACAAATCATTTTAAAAATGCTGCCATTTGCCTGATGTAAGTCTTGCACGAGTCTTGCCTTGATCTATCTGATCAACTGCTTTTTTCCAATTGTTACTCATGATGTTATCTACTTTTGCTTTAGTCAACCAAAGTGTGGATTCCTGATGCACAGGAGGTGTGGAAGTCAGCTGAACTAACAAAAGATTTCAAGGAAGATGACCACATTCTTTACCTCAAACTGGAAGATGGAACTGTAAGTTTTAGGTGGCACAAAATATCTCCACACCTTTTTTAGAGTTTGAGTTGCTGCATCAAATGTAGATTTCTGTATTCCATGGTACTTGTAATATTGAATACATAGTTGTGGTGCAGCAAAAAATTGAGCAAGAAATGGGAATCAAATCAATCTTTTATTTTTAAAATACCAAATGCTTTAACACCAAAGCACAACTTTTGGGTATGTATTTTTATAACCTTTTTTGCTACAGTGGTTAAATTTCAAGAACCTACAGTAGGTTTACAGTTGTAGACAATTCTTTTAAAGCAACTAATCTAGGTGGATGCACAATGAAAATAATCAACTACGTGGATTCATTTAATAGGTTCTCCACTACCAAAATCTCAAGTTTATTTGGTCATGTCTCATTTCAGTCTATGGGACTTGGCTGCATGGCATTTGTCATTAATTCTCCCTTTTGTTGCAGTAATAGTTATGCCTCAAGTAATTATTTGGTTCTGTAGCCTGTCAGGCTACCCTGAGGTCAGGGAAGGTGCTATAGAAATGACTTTTTAATGATATAGTGAAGACTACAATAATTGAAACACATTTATTTCAAATCTGTTTGAGCAGCCTTGGCATGAAATTGCTCCAGATATCTGATTTCTAACTTTGCCATTTGCTAATATCCTGCCTTAATTATAAACACTAAATCCTACATATACACTTTAGTTCCATGTCCTGGCTTGATACATATAGGATAAAAGCAAAAATCCAATTGAAGGCATAATGCACTTTACTAGCAGACTACTTCAGGCGTTCATCCACAAGTTGGAGCCTTTTGAGGAATGGGGGAATGTAGCAGGGGGGGCAGACTTATTATAAAGGAATAGAAAACTTTTTTTTAAAATACCCTTTGAGTTGCCAGTCTCCAAAACACTCTTGTCTTACTTCTGTTTAGCCTCTTGCTGGCTGATTTCCTGTTTTGTGTTGAGTGCACATTTTGCTGATACGTACAAAGTAGCAGAAGAATGGAACATAAGCCTGTTTATATTTATCATTACAAAATGTGCCCTAAAGTTGTTAAATCAGTGTTTTAGCCATTTGAAATAGTTGTTAACATTAACAATCAAGGAAGTGTTTCAATTTTCAGCAATGAAACAAGTAGTTATAGAAATCAATTTTTAATAAACATTTGTGTAAACCTGTAATTATCTTGGTAATCACAGGTGCTTGTGAGCAAGTCACTAATGTTCACTAATGTCCTTTAGGGAAGGAAACTGCCATCCCCACCTGGTCTGGCCTACATGTGACTCCAGACCCACAACAATGTGGTTGACTCTGAACTGCCCTCTGGGCAATTAGGGATGGGCAATAAACGCTGCCTAGCCAGCGACACCCGCATCCTGTTAATGAATTTTAAAAAGTCACAAATAGAACAAATCACTTTTAAAAATGCTGCCGTTTGCATGATGTTTGGGGAACTTATTTTCAGATGACAGAACAGAAACTTTATCTTCAAGTGGCTGGGACCCTCTTTGTCATTCAAAACTTTTGTCCAGTTACCTGCTGGAGAATTCATTGAGCTGCATAGGCTTAATGCCACAAATGTGACTGCACAAGTTCGAAAGCTGAGGCTTTTTCAGAAAACAAAAGCTCAATTAAAACCTACACTTTTGAGAAAGGCAAGAGGCTTTGATGTAAAAGCACATTAAGATCTTAAAACACAAGTCTGTGTAACAAATATATCTAATTGTGTTATGTGTGCTGGTCTCTCTCTCTCTCTCTCTTTCTCTCCTAAAACTGATTTAGGAACCAACACTCCCAAAGTGTCCCTGCCTGCTTCCTCCATCTGAAGGTTTTTCTTGAAAGCTAACTCTAATCAAATTTTTGGTCATCTGCTTGAATCTCTCGTGGTTTGGCATCAAATTTTGTATAACACGTCTGTCAAGTACCTTGGGATGTCTTTATTCTAAAGGCCCTATTTAAATAGCTTTACATCTGTATCTTGTTAAAGATTGGTAATGAGGTGGAGAGATGGATTTTTTGCACTGACAATGAAATATTGTAATCGGATATTGGCCTGTTTTGGAATTGTGCAGTCATATAAACTGAGTTTCCACTGTAACATGATTTTTCCATTATAAAAAACTTGATAGCTGAAGTAAAGTTTTTTTTTATGGACATGAAATGCCTCCCATATGCAATTCAATGCTGTCAAATCCATGAGTGGTTTGTGGAGTGGGGGGTCAGATTTGTGACCACTTTAAACAACATTTTAGTATTGTGTGGTGTGCTGGTCAAAGGCAAAGTTATGGTTTATTAAATTGAAAGCTCTGTTTTGTGGAATTGTTACCGTTGCTACATTTATTGGAGGGTGGCGGTGGCGGAGAGAGAGGGAGGGGAAAGAGAAATAAAATCACTACACACGTGCCCTCTAGTGGGAGGTTTGGATTTGTTGCCTGCTCGAGTAATGAGAAATGTTCAAAGCAGACATTTGGTGCCAAATGGTTGCATTTGTCAACATTGTTACTATAAAAAGTTTGCATAAATCTAACAACCAAAAGTATCCAAACTGAAATCATTTTCATTGTTTAATACAAACGTGCTTCATTGGTTAAAGCTTGATCATGGTAGAGATATATTTTTGATCATTGATTCATTTGCAAAATAGTTTTCTTGATATGATTTGAAATCTTCCATCCAAGTGGCTTGGTGAAAAATAGCTTTATCTAGCCATTTCTGTTTCTTAACAATTTTAAAGATCTGACTGTTAATTTTCTGCACATTGTTCCACCAGTTTTTCCAACTGTTATTTTCAGGCGCAACGTATCCTTTGAAAAATGGGGCCTTGCTGATGTTATGAAATATTTCAAATAATAACTTCATCACTCTAAATAACCATTGGATGTCAACTGAAATTTGCATGTCTAGGGCTGGAGTAGGAAAAGCTGGTACAAAGGCAGTCTATCAGTAAAAACCTCCTACTTTTAGGGCAAAAGTCTTGCTGTAGTACAATTTCAGGATTTATACTACTTCTGATAAGTTAGTTAACTGGTATGATTCATTTTGGTGTTGATCAGAATCGATCAATGTGTTAACTCAGTGGTTAGCACGTTTTCCTCCGTGCCAAGGACCCTGGTTCAATTCAGCCTTGTGCGACTGTGTAAACTCCACACAGACATTCTGTGTCTGCATGGGTTTCCTCCCACGGTGCAAAAATGGACAGATTAGGTGGATTTGCTATGCTAAATTGCCCCAGAGTATCCAGGCATGTGCAGACTATGTGAGTTAACCATGGGGGAAATGGAGGATTATAGGGATAGGGTGGGACAGAAGTGGGATGTTCTTCAGAGGGTTGGTGCAGCCTTGATGGACTGAATGGCCTCTATCTGCACGGTAGGGATTCCGTGACCTAACCCTCCTTGTGTCATTCAGTTTTAAATTGTTTCTTCATATGAAGAACTGAAAATAGTGGTTAAAATAAATGACTTGATGGCACAGTGTAATGTATTTTGGCAAGATGTGGACTAATATGACTATAATATTGAATTCCCTCCTAGCTAGAAAACTAACCGTTTTGAGACGATTGGTTAGCTGTTATTTGTACCTAGGGGTTAGGCATGTGTACTACTTCGTATTTTGTCCACTTCAAACGCACCGAGAATTCCCACTGGCCACAATTGTTGCAGTCCATGAGGATTTTGCTGCTTGTAGCCACTCCTCCTCAGGTGATTAGCTTGGTTCTCTTTAATGCCATCCTGTCTCATTCTGTATACCTGGCAAGCAGCCACTCATTTGTCATCTGACTATGCTCTCTTTCTGTTGCCTTCCACTTTACCCTCTAGCAGAGAAATCTGTAGGTTTTGGACACTGATCAAATGTCTAAAATACTGACCTCCTGTTTTCTAGATGCCACTTTGAACAGTTACTTTTGTTCTTCAAACTTGAAATACCTCTTACCTTTTTTTTTGTGGTGTGTATATGGGTTACTCAGCATATGCTGTAGTATCTTCATTTTTGAAGGCTTTTTATTTTCTCCCATAGTTTTTTATTGTCCAGGGCTTTTGTGGCATCCCAAAAGTGTGTAGAATGTAGCATCTTGAGTTTTTCTCCCTGTTACAAGTTTCTTTTTAATTTTCTTGTGAATACCTCTTTCATCTGAGCAAAATTGTCTGAATTTCTGTATCCTCCTAAGTTCTGCAGCACACCTTCCATCTTTTGTCATTTGTCCAAAATAAAGCATGTCTGCTTGTTTCGGTGTGATACCATCTGCTTCAATGCTGGCTCTAGTTTCTTCTAATGGATTACTGACTTTGTTTTTATTAGTCCCTAGTTTAAACTTCAAGATTTTACTTGATCTACAGTATTGTCTCTCGTTTGATTTTGCAAATAGTGCTGCGTTGTCAGTATGCTGCAAGTTTGTTTGTTTTTGCCTACCTTGGGAAGTAAATCTAATTCTGAGATTCTGGGTATATGCAAAAGTTGAATTTTTACATCTCTAAATTTTCCATGTTGGGAGCTTTTTTCACAAGAAAATTCTTTGTAAACATCTGTTCCCTTTTCAAATAATTTGTCTGAAATTTAGTGTCCTCTTTTACCTCACTTGCAAAGATACACCACACGGATTCATCTAGTTCAAAGTGCTGGGTCTTTCCCTTTCGCCTATAAGCATTCCTACCTTCCTCTTTTACTTTTACTTTTATCTCTAAACTCCTTTTGCCCCTTTTTAAATAGCCAAGACAATTAATGGAATTCTGGCTTTCATGTCCAAAGAGCTGGAGTATAAGAATGTAGATGTTATGCTGCAGCTGTACAAAACCCTGGTTAGACTTCTGCTGTGAACTGATCTGGGCAGCACACCTTAGGAACGGTGTTAAACATAGTTTCTAATGGTGATAGCTGGACTTCAGGAGTTAAGTTGAGGAGAGATGAAACAAATTAGGCCTTAACCTCCTAAATTCCAGAGAATAAAGAGTTGCATTAATCTAAGGTCTTCAGGCTATTAAATAGGGAAAGACTAGGTGGATAAAGAC